CGTCCTGCTGATCCCCTTGTGCCATCTTTGAAAGAATGTATAGTGAAGAGACACAGGCAGTCAAGGGAGACAAAGTGTAAAAGAATGTCCTTGATTACCTCTTACTTTTTTTTTTGCATCCAAGACCAGCCTAGATGTAATTAGTGAAGGTTCAGAGGAAAGTACTCCCAGGAGCATTCAGTAGTATGAACAGCTATATAGTTAATTTCTGGAGAGAAAGGTTTTTTTCTTACTGGTGACCATGATTCTCTGACACTTGTGCTTGTACTTGGTCATGATTTGTGCTCCTCCTTTTCCCAGATAGTAGTCCCCTTCTCAGAGGAACCCCTTGGTTGAGAGCCCCTGATGGGGGCAGGCCCTCCACCCCTTTTATACCTATTTGCATGGTATAAGCTTACCTATAAGCATATGGATTTTTTTTTTTCCCCCAAGGTTTGGCGTTTGCAGTTCAAATGCCCATCTTGAAAATACAAACGTATACCTCACAGAACTACTTTCACTGGGAGGTAATGTTCATGGTATTCTTTCTTCTCCTAGATGGATCAAAAATGTTGTCCTGGTTTCGGCTGGAATAGAGTTAATTTTCTTCCTAGTAGCAGGCATAGTGCTGTGTTTTGGATTTAGTAGGAGAAGAATGTTGATAACACACTGATGTTTTTTAGTTGTTGCTCAGTACTGCTTATGCTAGTCAAGGACCTTTCAGCTTCCCATGCTCTGCCAGGTGCACAAGAAACTGGGAGGGGGCACAGCCAGTATAGTTGATCCAAACTGCCCAAAGGGCTATTCCATACCATATGACGTCATGCTCAGTATAGACACTGGGGGGGGTTGGCCAGGGAGCAGCAATCGCTGCTCGGGAACTGGCTGGGTATCAGTCAGCGGGTGGTGAGCAATTGCATTGTGCATCAGTTGCTTTGTATGTTATTATTGTTATTATCATTATTATACTGTTACTATTAGCATTACTATTTTACTTTATTTCAATTATTAAACTGTTCTTCTCTCAACCCAGGAGTGTTTCTCACTCTTACTCCTCCAATTCTCTCCCCTCTCCCATCGGGGTAGGGGGAGTGAGCGAGCGGCTGTGTGGTGCTGAGTTGCTGGCTGGGGCTAAACCACAACAAATGTATACTTTGTCTTTTAAGTTAAGAGGTTTACAAGCTAGAAAACTTTGAATTTAAAAGATATATTCCTCAAAAATATTTATTTCCAAGGCTGAAAAAAATAACGTGATTTGTGAGGCCCTCCATAGCAAAGCATGTTGTGTATAACTTAGCGTTGTCTCCAGCCACTATGGAATGATGATTCCTCCTGGTATATATAGTATTTATTAGTCCTAGTAAAAGAAACACACAGGTGAGAAAAGCTCATATACCCTGTCAACCAAAGAGCTAAAAAATTATGCAGTTTATGAAACAATTACAACAATAACAAATGAAAATACTGAACAAATGAAATACTGAAGTTGTGACAAAAATCTCTTGTAACTGTGTTTTATTTTACAGATATGGCCTCTGAATGACTTTGGATTTCTACGTGCAAGCCCCAATGGCCATAGATTTCTTGATGATTGAAAGACTTAAGTGACTATTGCCAGCTTTCATAATATTTTCTACTAAAATCAATAGAACTATTTTTGTTTAGAATAAACACAAGTATTACTTGACAAAGATGTCTCTTTCTGGGATTACATGTAACTTGAAGGTGGGAATGATACACTGCTGTCATCAACAAAAATGATATGCCTCTTACTCTGTTTCCTCTGGCTATTCACAGTAAGTGCTTGCATTTATTCGAAAGTTTTGATTTTTACTACAAGCCAAGGTTAGCATTGACTGTTAACAAGGGATGAAAAAGGTGCAGTCCACTATTATACTGTCACACATCCAGAGCCACACATAGGCTATGCCTACATTAGCAAGTAGTGTGGGATTGGAACTGAAAACAGTAACAGTGGGGTTCCGGATTTGCTAGTCACTTCTGTCAGTTTTGTAGGGTTTTCCTTAAACTGGCTCTAGTTTGGCACGGTAGACTGCATGCCCAGCTTCCTGGTTAGTTTTCATCTAAGGAATGAAGACTGCATTTGTTCAGATGATGGAGAGAGTCGGTTAAAAAGTGTGCTCCTCCTCCAAGCTGAAAAGTTAATGCAGATGCAGCGGTACAGCCCAGTGCATAGGCACTGGACCTGCTACCAGCCTGTCAGATCTGCGCGTCTCTGCCACCTCTTTCCAAGGCTCACGTCCTCGTGAGGATTTAATGAAGTTAAATACTTAGCATAGAAATAGAAAATGTTCCTGTTTCCCATTAATGCACCTTACTCTTCATTATCATCAAAGCATTCTCACATGTATGCCTCCTGATTAAATTTTGTCATCCGAGCTGTTAAAGGGATTTAACCTAAGAGGTAGGGCCTGAGGTATGGTTGATACAGACTGAGATTGAAAGAAGCTACTCCGTTGTTTGCTGGGAAAGAAATGTCATTTAGATCATGAGCTACATTCCACTTGTACAGAACTTAGTGTTCTGTTCTTGAGGTTTTTTATAACTAGCTCTTTAGCGGTGGAAGGAAAAAAAGCCAAGCCTCACGTCTGCAGAGCTATGGTAGCGAATGGGCACGTTTCCTTTCTTAAGCCTGACAGAACTTACTCTTGCAGTGTCCGCCTTGTCTTTTACATACATTTCTTAGCAGATGCTGACCCCTGCTTGTCCAGTCTTTTTAGAATTTTGTAACTCTGAGTGTGCTTGATAGAAACAATCATTGAAGGATCTCGATAACAAGTGAACATGTGTCACAACAAACCAAAGATACATCTTTGGTTTCATTCTTGAAGACAGTGTAATTCCCACCACATCGGCATGAGAGAGTATAACATTGTTCATCTGCCAAAAAAGAAAACAAAAAAGTCTTTAGTGCTTGAGAAGATTCAAGAATTTATTCTGGATTTTCTTCACAAAGCTGCTCTTAATAACGAAACATCATTTGTGTGTGTGACCCTCCCATTGCTGGATTGCGAATATCAGTACCCATGCAACCATCTGTTGCTCAAAAAATAACTATACTGTTAAAATGTATTTCAGTGACTGCGAGGCATTCTTATGCCAAAGAGCCAGGGTCAGTGTAGTCTCTTTAAAAGAGCAAATAATAAAAAGGTGCACAACACTGAAGCAGACATATGTTAAAAGGATACATACACTGAATATTTCTGAATGAGAACTTGATTCTGACAAAGTACCAAGATCTTTAGAGAGCAATTAAGAACAAACTAAGGGGTGTTAATTATACATATGACAGATCAAGGATGGTTCCAAAACAGACTGCTCACCCAGGAAACAAACATAAACAGAAGAAAGGAAAACAGATAGGATTTTTCCCCCCACAGCTTAAAAAAAGTAAAAAAAAAAAAAAAAAAAAAAAAAAAAAAACAACAGCCATTCATCAAAAAAAAAGCAAGTAAATGATAAAAGCTAGAGGAATATAAAGGAGAGAAATAACAGTCAGACAAAAAAAAAAAATCTGTATGAAAACACTTGCATTCTACCATCACAGAAAGAGTAAGATGATGCACGAGAGATTTGGTAAGAATCTGGAAGTCTAAATACTCAATTATACTGCAAGAGGAGAGCTAGGTGAAAAGTGGTACTGCAAGCGGGGGGCAGAGGAGAGAGGAAGAAAGAATAAGAAGTATCACAGAAAGTGAAGTTCCAGTTCAGGTAATCACAGAGAACAGAATAGCTAAATCTGAGGCAAATGTTAAAAAAGTAGAACTTAAAATAAGGCAACATAATGGTATAAGATGCAGAAAAAAATAGAAAACCTTTGCAGTAACAATGAAAGGCACCGGGAACAAGTAGTAAGGCACTCATACCTTCATTCCAGGACATATCCTCAAGACAAATTTGTGCATGTAGTGGCCATTCTTTTGTCAGATTATCTTCTATAAAGAAAATATGACAAATGTTCAACCCTGGTAACATACAGGTCCTTATTTCTTCCTGATAAATTAATAGTTTTATATACCTAGCTGTCAATGTGGTCCCTACTAGAGAGTCATACCTAGACTACTTTATCAGTTAAAAATGCAGTTCTCTCAAATTTTAGTTTCCGTATCTCTGAATAAGCTGCAAAGTGTCTTACTGTAGCCAGGAGAAGTAAATGGTGAAGCTGCATTACTGAAATTAAGATGCTACTGAAACCAGTACTTTTGTGCTCCCCAAACAATTCTGCGAAATTGGGGGCAAACTTTTTTATATAAATACCTTTTAAAAGCCCGGCTGTAACTACAATTTCACAGGCTGAAATTGTGAATGTCTGCTTACCTGTACTTGTCACAAAATCATGGAATGGCTGAGGTCAGAAGGGACCTCTCAAGATCACCAAATCCAACCCTCCTCCACAAGCAGGGTCAGCTAGAGCACATTGCCCAGGACCATGTCCAGTCAGATTTTGAGTATCTCCACAGGTGGTGACTCCACAATCTCTCTTAGGCAACCCCTTCTCTTTTAGAAAGGAGCAACCGATAAACCTCCCCAATAAGCACCAAGTAAACATTAGGGTTGCGTGTGAAAAGAACACCAAGATTCCTGCAAAAAGGTATTACTAACAAAAGAGAAATGAAAAACACTTTTAGGGGAAGACTAGTCCAAGTGTTCTTTTATGATAAAGAGTCAGCACAGAAAAAGTCATTTCTAGCCTGCACCCGTGAGATCTGTTGCCATTTGATCCCCTAGATTCTTCGAACACCGAGTACAGCATGAAATGAAAAGTGTACAATACAAATGAAATTACCAAATGCAAACTGCAATACAAATTGGTTTTTGCAATCTATCAGCACACTCTTACCTGATGTACAAAGTTCACACCAAGTTCTTTAACTTAACAGTGTAAGATTTTGTCAACAAAGTTACAAGTGAAGCCATAAAAAGTAATATTTAAAAAAAAAAAAAAAAGGACATAAGCCCCTTACAACTTACTACACAAAACCTCCCAGCTGCTGCCTGACACCTGGAAGCTCCAACTCCCCCAGTGCTGTATTTTAAAGAACCAGAAATGCCTGAAAGCTGATATTTAGCACATACACAGAAATGCCTTAGAACTGGCAAGACTGAGGAGCTTAGTGCTTATTTAAGGTTTAAATCGGGTTGTTATTGAGAAAGTGGGTGTTCCTTCTGTTGGATCAGTGAGTTTTTAAATAAGTTTTATAGTTTAATAACATCAAGTTTTCTAGAGCATATAGTGTTGTCTATGGCTTTCTATGAAAACTAAGTTTGCAGTGAAAGAATTTCTTATTCCAGAACTACTTATTGAGCACTTACTGAAAAAGCCAGAGGCCCAGATTATTTTATGTTGTTTTAATTCCCGAGAGATTGACCTACCCTTATCACTAGATTGCAGGGTATTCTAAATGGTTCCCGGCTTCTTCTGTATAACTGTTCTTTGCTCCAGACTGAGAAGCAGAAATGATGGACTTCGCAGCTACCTCTTCCAATAATACCCCAGAAAAACTGCACATCTCCAACCTTTACCTGATCAGATAATGGACTATTTCCTTCTTTATCACCAAACATCATCATCTGATTGCAACCACCTTACTCTTCAAAAGTTGGTACCAGATTTTGAACAGTGAAGTAGTGACTCAGAAGAGATGTACATCAATATTCTATTAGCTGATTTCACACATTAACTACGTAAGGCAGGCTATGCACAAGTAATACTCCTGACTTACAACAAAGTAATGTAAGTTGCTGCAAAGAAGTTGAAGGCTACTATGAAAGTATAATCCTAGCAATAGCTAACCACAGCTTTCTCTATAGTTAATTATCTAAATTAAAATCTAACCAATCTGTTTTACTGGTTTCTGGGGGATTTTTTTTTTGTTTCCCTTTCATAGCTCTATCAGTTTTAAAAGTATAGTATCATAGGTAGAACTATTAATGTAACATACCAGTAGTGAAATGAACACCTTGCATTTTAACTATATGTATAATTGGGGGGAAAAAAGAAAAAGAGTGAATACTTATATTTTGGGTTTTTAAATTTGACATTTAAGGCCAGTTTAAAAAAAAAAAACCACCACCAAATATTAAGTCCCAGTCTTTATTTTGCAACTAAATGACTATTCTGATTTTAACAGAAATGTACATTATAGATCCTCAAGAATGAGCCTAATCTAAATCAGTTTTAGTAAAGGAGATTAAAACAAATCAGACACACATTGGAAATAATGACAGAATCAATACAGCCTCTTTTGATGTTACCTTTGCCGAACACCTATTCTGTAATGAAAAGGTCAGAATTAAAATTAACCCACTCACACCTAATACTTCAGTGCTGTCAAAGAAAGTGGGGAAAAAAAAATCAGCAAGATCGTAAAGATGACAGAAAACTGGAAGATAGACCTATCAATCAGTCATTCTCATTGTTGTGCATGTTCTCAATTACATAAACAAGTGTTACGGGTAATGTTTTAATTATACAAAGTAACAACATTTTTCATAACACCTGATCAGAACATTAGTTAACTGCATGAAATGTCCAAAATAAAACAAAAGGTCAGATGGTCTTAACTCCTGCCAAATAACTCTAACATTACTTGGAGTTAGTCTGGTACAGCCTTCTAGCTACAGAACATGAGAACAGGAACAGTGAATGTCCTGAAAACAGCCACAAAACCAGTCGGAGGCCTCTGCTCTAGCAGGCCTTGTGCAAAATAAAGATTCCTCCTCCTCTTTTTTGAGGAGGAAAAAAAAAAACTAAAGCAGAGATCAAAATAAAGCCTGTCTGTCTACCTACCTTCAGGTTCTTCTCTCCACTGTGGAGGAAGACAATACCGTAGCTGTGAGAACAGTGTGAAAAAGGCAAGTGCTTCCTATTTCACCTGGTGGGGTGGGTTTTTTTAATACTTGGAAGAAAAATTCACAAAGGAAAATGGTCTCTTAGGTTGTAGGAAGAAGAGATTTTCTTAAGCTTCATTTATAGGTAGCAAAAAATTGAGTTAAAAAGAAGCCAGACTTTCCTATTTGGAATTCATGAAGCAGGATTTCACTCAGAACAAGTTTTATAGGATTGGAAGTGGAGGTCTGGGTCATGACTTGCTGATAGAAAATACAAAAAGGGCAGATGGACCATATACGACCATGAAGAGAACTGGTGAGATGCAAATTCACGAGGTTACCATACTTCCTAAAGTACAGTTACTCACAAAGTAGTGAAGAAGGTGGCTGAGGAGAAGTCTACCCTCTCTTCTAGTCCAAACATAGTACAATATGAAGCTCAGGAAACAGAATTTCAGCGAAGGTTTTCTAATTCATTACTGCAATTGTAATTTTAAAAATGTAAAAAAAAAAAAAAAAAATCAACAGGCTGGTTATCTCAAAAGACATAAATTTTCATTTAGTACTCTTGAGTAAGTCTCCAAACGTAGCACACAATCCAGTAACCACTCTTGTCAGTTTGTTTTGTATTGCTGCATATATTTGGTTATCTGGTTCAAGCAGGAGAAACTCACTTTCCAGAGCTGAACAAAGCTTTTTTAGTTTCTACTTCTCCTATGAAATACACTATCCAATCTAATATACCTTAAGAAGCAGAAACCGATTTAGCCAGTGATTTAAAAACGGAGACACAGCCCAGTGTGAGTTTGGGGAGCTTACAAGCAGAACTACAAACCTACTGCTTTTCACAGAGCATGTTAGTGACTCTAATACTTTCTGTGCTCTTCCTTATTTCATCTACATCATTATTATTACAGCCATGACTCTCGTTAGTGGTTCTGTGAAGTGAACCAGTGTCTGATTTTCCCTCCCTTGCTGGAGGAGGTGGTTGTTTAAGACTGGTATTGTTCCCAGTACCAAGTTTGGTGGTAGGCTTACTTATACGTGACGTCTGCTCAAGCTGTAGAATTCTGTGTACCGAGTTGTACTTTCTGAAACACATTCCCGAACATACAGGGAAAATGGTGAAGACCTGATCATCTACCATAACTTGGAAAACAAATTTTAATTCCCAAGAAGTACAGCCTGCCCGGCTTTGCCATCTATTGGATTTGTCTGACAACAAGAGGTGAAAGGATTCTGCAGCTCCATTGTCTCAACTGCAGGATCTGAGAAAACACTGGCAGGCTCATCAGAGAGGTTTATGAGCCTGCAATTCAAAGAGATTAAAAGGAAAAATCTACTGAGATTCTTTCAGGCTACAGAACAACATTAAATAACTATTAGCAGCTTGGTTTAGTAAAGCTTTACTAGAGCCCTTGCTGGGTCATTCAGAAATTGTAAAAGAGGAAAGGTATTTAAGTTTCACTTGAGGATACAATAAATATTTCTTGGGCTATTTAAGGCTGAGTTGCAAGGGTTGCAAGCAGTAAATGGAAATTTAACCCTTTTAACAGTTTATGGTAATAGTAAAAATAGTCATAACACTTTTTTCCTAGCTCTTTATCAGTCATATATTCTTAGGATTTTTTTTTTTTTTAAACCAAACGTAATTAAAAAAGTTCAAGATACATACTGTCAATCAAATACTGTTCATAGTATCTACTAAGTATCAAAACCATCACAGTACTGAAAACCTGGACATTTTCAGAAGTTGATTTTTTCTAATAGGCTATTTAGTTTTTAAACAATTACTTAAGCTTGAGTCTCTTGCATTAATTTAAAATAACCATGCTTACTTTCATTTGAAATTATAAAAGTCATATGTAAAGACTTTTCATAACAAAATGCTATGTTTGTTAAAAAAAAAATACCAAAAAAATACTGCTTCACTTGTAGCCAGCGCAGGTTAGAATTAACTCCAAAGAGCTGTGGTAAAAGGCTCGTGTTCCAGCACTGGCTGTGGGTCTACAGCCATAAAATCCGTGGCTAGAGAAGGAACATACGCTTCTGTCACTTAAAGAGTATAACCTGGCACACTGAAAAGTCTAAGTTAACGGCCATT